ACCTACTGTACGTGTAACATACGTGTTTGCATATTTATGGTAGCTCATGGTGTTGTTTATTAAAATTGGAGTTAGGAGGAGCCTCTGAATATTGTATTAAAGGGGCTCTAAGATGGGCCCTAGGGAAATTCCACATGTGACTTTTGGGGTCTCTGATAAAAAGTTACCTACTGACACAAAAAAGTGCCTGTCTTTAGATTAGGATTTCTTAGCAGGTCATAGACCTACTATAACCATTTTTTATTATTTAACAGTCCCATAAGGGTAAAAAGTAACAATGCCTAGTCTACAGAGTTTATCCACAAACAATTTGTTTTTCAAAGCAGCTACTTTAATCAAAACATACTTGGCAGCAGGTTTGATTCCTGTTTTACTTAGATTTCAGTTTTACTCTGATTTTTTACTAGATTTCAGGCTTGTACTCACTGAGCTGACTAAAGAGGTGACTTTTCGGCTGCTCTATTATTAAAGGGTCAACAAGTCACTACAACCTGGACACATACAGTACTTTGCAGAGCTTTTAAGCTTTTACAGTTTTGCCTTTTCTGCTACAAAAGGGATTTGAACCCCTGAATCCCCTTGAATTGAAGTCAAAGATTTAAACTACCACACCACTGACCCGTCTAAACATACTATAAACCAAAGTCATCTTAAGACAAATGTCTGTCCAACATCAAAAGAATGACTCAAACTAGGTTGGATTCAAGGAGCTATTATTTGGGCTTTTTTACACCTTTCAAAGTTAACTATAGACATACATATGATGAAATAATACCTTTTGCAGTATGGAGTATTAAAGTGTTTTTATTTCTAGCCTTAAGAAAAACACTTGCCTTAAAAGTGAAGCAGCCACTCTAAATCTGCCATCACCATTAATCACTACTTCTAAAGGCTGAACAAACTCCAAAACCAAAAAGATGATTTTTTGGACATAGAGACACACACACATATATATATATATATATTTACATAAAAAAGTGCTGTCCTGTGAACATTGGCAACCAAAATAGCCCCTTTGTTTCAACTTCAAGATGGAATCATCTCACTCTGCCTCACATCACATCTCCCTGAAGGGAGAAAGTGGGCGTTTGTTTACAGAGCAGGTGCAGCGTGGTCATGGTAGGTACTTTCTAAAGGGGGTACTTCTAATAGATATTCCTCATCTGCTCATTTTCACAGAAGAGGGAAGGGCTGCTACTCAGAGAATAATTCATAAAGATCACTCAGAGATGCATGAGTTAAGCGAAATACCAATGTGCATGATTTTTATAAGAAGAACATTATACCACAATTAAAAGCTCAAAAAAGTTTAATTTGCATGATTTAGGCTTTTTAATTACCCCAAAACTAGCATAAAAATTATGGAAGAGTGACAATAATACAACTAAATCATTGGTTTTTACTGAATCCACATGCAGGTGTTTAAAAAAAAGACAAAAAAATCAAGCATATTTGTGAAACATTAAGGCTAATCAAATCTATGAAGTATGTGTGATACTGTTGATATGCAATTTTAAAACATTAGTGTTTAAATAATCTTAGAAATTCTACCTCATTTAGGCAGCATAACATGCCAATCTTTGTGTATTGTTGTTTTGCCAGATCAAGCTGCTTTATGCAAGGTGGCAATAACAATAAAATGCAAAGGTGAGTGCATATTAATATCAAAGAGATGAAAAGTACAAGGAGCATTGTGGCATATAACCATAGCAACATGCAAATGAAAATAATTTAAAGCATAATAAAAAAGGGGGGTTGAAATATTTTAATGTATTTTGCAAGAGTCTGATCATGTTTTAAACATTCCCGAAACCAGTCTAATCAGCTAATAACCCTCCTTTTTTCTTTATTCTTATCATTTACATCTCTTCACTAAGATAATAGTTTGTCTCCTTGTCAAGGAGCTCACAAAGAAGAAAGTGGAAATCTTTGTTAGATCTATATAGTTTTATTTGTGTTCTAATGTATATAGCCTATCGTGACTTGGCATATATGCAAACAAAGGTTTACAAAGATATCTTTATAACTTTCAGAAAGTAATTTAATGTGTTTAAAAGCTACTGCACTGCATTAGGCAATATGGCAGCACATGTAAGCTGATACATTCATTTTGCTCCTCAAACAGGATGTCCTAATTGGCAGATTTCTACATTGTCAAGTCTGATTATTCTCTAGACTGTACTGAGGACCACCATGTCTTTTAAGCCATCAGGTCACCCTTTTATTGCTAACTTAACTGACCTTATATAGTTACAGATACTATCAGTGTGTGAGCATCAATAAATCAGATTTAACGTTCTGCATGGTCTTCATTTATCAATTTACTAAAGGGTGTTGTAATTATGTTGATATATGATTAAAGATGACCTTTTAACTGAAATCAAAAAGGTTATTGAAAAAAAATCTCATATTTTAAGTTGATTAGAACAATTAGAGGTTAACTGATGCAAAGGCAGTGGAGGACTTATAAAAAAACATATTTCCAAAATCATAAAAGGATTTTGTACAATGTTTTAACATTTTCCATTTTATTCCCCCTTATATTCACACATGTCCTAATCTGTTTAATAAACTGCAATATACACAGTGCTTAAAAATAGTTAAGCTACTATTACCTCAAATGATGCCTTTATTCAATCATTTAGTTCTTTATTTAGCAACACTAATTGTGTAATGAAAAGGATCATGAGATCATGAGTTGATATTAGACACATTAACACTTTATACTTTCAGATGAAAAAAATGAGCAGAAACACACACTAACAGCTCTTATACCATTAATAGTAAAGAAGGCATGACATGCAGATTAAAGCAGAGACTGTTTTATATGATCTAGACCTCCCAGAGCATCTCAGAATAATTGATAGTCTCTGTGAACCGGCAACTTGTTCTAATTTAAGCTGCTTCTTTAAAAAATAAATAAATAACAGGGACACGGAAGGTAATAAATAATAGTTTTTAAAGTACTATGATCTAGAAGCTACTGTTTGACTAATTTAGACATAAATTGCTTCTGTTGTATTCATGATGAAACCTGATTTAACCATATTTTAAAGTTTTACACACAAAGTAAATGCAGTCAGTGTCATTTTCCACCTTTCGCATAAATGAGCCCTTTTTGTTGTTGTTTTGATTATTGCACATATTTTTAAATAGTCAATATATATCAAAGATATATGCGGAAAGGATTAGATTAAATAATACATTTCTTGAAAAATGTAACCTAACTAACCCATGCATAGATAAAGAAATACGTTAACTTAAAACAGCCTCTACTTTCAAGATGAGTTTTTATATCATATGTGATCCAAACATTAGCCTTTAGCCTTACATATATGCCTCATAAACCTTCATTTCAGATCTCCTCACCAACCTCTTCTGTTTTCATGGCCTTGCAACTCACCCCTTTTAATGGATATTGAGCAAGGAAAGCTGAAGAGCGGAAGTGCGCACATGTACACATACTCAGGACCGTTTCATTTTCCTTTTTCTGAGAACTGAGCTAATGCAGCGTTAATGCTCTCTAATGGATGTTAAAACTGTTTGATCTTTCATTAAACATAATCCACGTAACCATGAGATAACCTTTTGTGATCAAGTATGACCACAAGAAAATACTGCCAAACAGTTTCTAAACATCCATAACACATGCATCATCCTCTATATTTAATAGCACTTTTTGCAAAAATGTGCATAAAAGCCCTAAAAAACATAGTTTCCCCTAATAAATTAATCTATCAATCCAACTTTTCAGTACATTTTTCAAGATGGAGAAAAGAAGAATTTATGATTAACTACTTTCCATCATATCCTGTTCGGCACAGTAAGTGTCACCGCTTAGAATTCCTAAAACAAGTGCTTTTATTATCTTTTAATAAGTATTAAGAATTTGCTTAATGTCACAAAGTTTCCACCAAAAAACATCTGTGACATCAAGAAATGAATGAATATGACAACCATATACCATCAAATGTTATTTAGCTTATTATGAGCAGCTACAAAATGAAGGCTGATGCATGTTTCATATACACAATATGTTGAAGAAAAAAACAACATAGCAAAGCAAATGTTCTTTTCATGGAGTCTTTCTTTTTTTTGTACCCGTAAGAATCCATATTATAATATAAATAAAAATTGAAGAAGACTATTCTTCACGAATATAAAAAATGGTTAGAGTGAGCAAAAACTGCTTTACACCCTATTGATAATCAACTAGTAACACAATTTAACTAAAGAATAAAAAGGAACTTATCAGACCTATTCATTTAACTTGTACAATAATTGGCTTTTAAGACCAAACAAACTTTGCGTTTGTGTTGTATCCCTTTTATATGTCACTTTGGTCTTTTATCGCTTTTATTGAAGCCTGGATTTGCAATAGATTGGATTTTGAGAACAGAATAGCTTTACTAGGAGCACAGAAATAGCCAATCGTTAAAATCTTGCTTAGAAATCAGCAGATATGTCCAACAGATCTACTAAAGTAAATATATCTTTCTTCTTACCACTAGCTTAATGGAATTATGTGTGACATTTTAAAGTCACAGTCTCTGGTGAAATGGTCTGGTAGATCTTCCTCACCTCCTAAGGGGGACTGAGTCAGCAAAGTCACTATGGCATCATGGTTTGTACAATGAGAACATTTTATGCTTTCATTTTACAACATTAAATATTTGGAAAACCTGTAAGTATCTGCTAACAGATCTAACAATAAAACAACTGTTTGATAATATTCAGTTGAGAACATTTTAAAATTTAGTCCTACGTAAAGGGAAAACAATTATATTTATACATCTTTTAAGCAGTGCTCACATCATTTCAGTTGTCTTTGTTCACAAACATCTCCACCTAACAGTCATCTGCCTCAGCAGCAGAGCAACAACTAAGCTATTTTGGACAACAGGTACACAACTTCATAAAATGCATAACTTTTCAAAAATTCATGAAAGAGAATCTTATCATATTTGAAAATCATTAATAGTCAGGGCTGATAAACGTACCTGTAAACCAGTGCATCATCTCCCGAGCTGTTGTACTGGACCTGGAACATTCTTACTCCAGATGTAGGAGTTTGGCTGCTCCATCTAATCAGGGCAGAGTTTCCAGTCAGCTCCACCAATGATACCCTCCTGTCAGCCCCTCTTGTCTCGTTGTTAGGCATTGCAACTTTGGAGGAGGTCAGAATGTCAGAGGGTGCAGGCTCAGAAGAAGGATCTCGACTGCGGCTTGTGCTGTTTGCAAGATGAGGCACTGCTGTGACAATTAACTCCACCCTTCCTGTTGATTCACCTGCAGCATTTGAGGCAATGCAAGTGAAGTTTCCAGAATCCTTCAGGGAAGTAACGTTGATATCCAGGCTTCCATTTGGGAAAACTAAAGTTCTGCAACATAAATAAATGTAGATGACAGACTTATTGACTAAAACCAGTAGTTCAGTACTCTATTAAAAAAACTTACACTTAGACAACTTTTATTGCAATGTTGTATACACATAGATTTAATAAAGCCATTTATTGGTAAAGGTTAGCTTGCAATTTGTTTCTGTTCTACATGCAAGAGTAATGAGGGAACTTGTTTTGTTTAAATTTTGGCAGCTCCCATGCATGTTATAATCTGACTCTATTAGATGGCTTTTGGAGTAATGGTTTCTTCCTAAAGAACTCGTATATAAATTATCACAGGACTAATTTAACTGTTTACAATGATGATGGACACAAAATTCAGCAAACCTTTTTAAAATGTTCTCATTTCTTTTCACTAGGGTAGATACATGTTTTCCTCAAAAATATTTTAATCACTGGGTCGGATAACCTTGCTCTCTAAATGAGGTAATGGCTGGACATTCCTATGTTGTTTGAACCTACAGATAATCAATTTAACAAGAGTTCAGGGCACCTTAATGGATATTTAAATAAAACCCAATGATAGACCTGATTTATGGAGATCCGCAAAATCCGTTGCTTTTTCCCTTTAATGTCATTCAGGGATACAATGTATTTGCTATGTTAACTAAAAACGCATTCAAGTGTGCCTTAAACACAAAATGTTGCCCTCTTTCAACTTGTTTAAAGGCAATGTTATTATTGTGAGTTCAATTTTATGAATTAAAAACATTTCTTTCATTATACATCAATTAGAACATATGCAAATTGCATTAAAACAGAAGAGTGCTTTTATTTTTAAGAGTTAGAATAATTCATGTTTTTTATCATTATTACTTTTTTCGTAGAGCCTGACCTATGTTACTAGCTAAATACAGCCTTCTAGGAAGTTAGAAATTGTCCAAAAAAAAAAAAGGTCTGACACCATATATGTATACACGTTAACACACAGTACGGTAAACATCTTGAAAGGTGGCCTTTGTTGGCTTTATAATTGTTGTCTTTGTATCTTTGCTCCCAATGATGAGTTATGATCACTTATTATTGGGAGCAAGAAAACTTCATTTGCCCAAAATTCATTACGGTATTTGTTAAAATAGTAAATGAGATATATCACATCTGAAACACATAAACTACCTAATGAGAGTTACCCTACCAATATGCCATTTTATATATGGCTATTTTTTTGTTTCAGTGCCTGATGCTAATGCAAGCCTTTACTGCCAGTACCTTTCCTCACCACATCCAGAAACAGCCTGATGCATCATTTCACTGTGTGGCATCCTGAGTTCTCATTTTAATTTAAAATGACACCATCAAAAGCTTTGATAGAAGCTTACAGTTTTAAATACTGGTAGTGGTTTTAAAGTAGATTTTCATAATAACATGCAGAATTCCAAAGCAAATTAGCCACCCAAAGTTTTCATGGTTGAGGAGATTTTGACCTTATCATCTGTAGTGTTCACTGGCAGTCAGAATGCGAGCTGGGTAAATGTATTTGAAATCAATTAATTGGTTTTTATCAGCAGTCACAGTTACCTTGAATAAGTGAACTTTCCTTCAGTTGTATGGTCTTCCACGGTTAGAGATATTATTTTTACTTTTTGAAAAACTTAAGAAAATTTTTTTAAAACAATGAAATGTAAATGAGGAATGCTAAATTAACTATTTTTCTAGTAAGGTATAAATTGATCATGGTGGAGGGATTCCTAGCCAGTTATTTACTATTTTGTATTCTGAGAAATAGAAATAATGTGATAAATAGGCCAACTTCTCTTATACACCCTTTAAAATAGAAAAGACGAGAAAATGTACCATTTAAGCAACGATATATTGAGCTGGTGAAGGATCTCAAACATCCAGGTCATAGGCATTCCAATATAAATATTAAAAACAATCCACTGGATTTTGTTTCCAAGTTTGAAGATGTTTTGCTTCCCATCCAGGAAGCTTTTTCAATCAAAATGTCAGGAATACACAGTAGCCCACCAAAGCCTTGTTTTTGTTTTTCAAAAAAAGAGCAAATTGGAACAGACGAAGGGGTCCACCCATGTGGAATGGGGGTCATTTGGCTTCTTTTGTTGTTGATATATTAATCTATGTTTATCAGTCAAAAAAAGCTTTAAGAAACATATTTGCAAATATATGAAAAATGACATAATAAAAAGAAATATACATCAGATAAATACCTGGAGCCATTTGATATAAGTCGGCCTTCAGGGCTTATCCAGTGCACCTCAGGCTCTGGGTCACCATTTGCTTTGCATTTTAGACTTGCAGGCTGCCCTTCCATAGCAACAGTATGGGGTGACTTTCGAGTCAGAACTGGTGGGTCACAAATAAATTCCTAAAAGTAAAATCAGAGATGAAATGTGAGGACATCTTAAATTAATGTACATATTTTGTTGTACACAAACAGGTGAAAGTTCCAACCTCTTCAGGTATTGTCCAAAAGTACTTGGCGCTCAGATCCGGAGGGGAGGCACATGTCTCTAGGTCATCCTCTCTAGTTAATCTCCTTAACCACAAAAGTTCACAGTTGCAATGAAGTGGGTTACCACCAAAACTCAACACAAGGGAAGAAAGAGGGGAGCCTTTAGACTTAGCGTAAACTGGGATTCTCAAGAACAATGGATCAGGGGGAATTTTCTTCAGTTTGTTAGAAGTCATGTCCAGTCTGAGAAAGGAAAGGGAAAGAAGAGCCAAACACTTACATTAAAACACTACAAAACATATTCTAATTCACTTCATTAGATAATTTACTAACCTTGCAAGTTTGTGAAGATTGGTGAATACTCCCTGGGGCACATTCTCTATAAGGTTATGATCCATATTCAAGGTATTGACATTTGTAAGACGCCCGATCGTGTCCCAGGGCACCTGGTCAAGGTTGTTATAACTTAGATCAAGATCCTCCAGAGTAGAAACAAAGTCATCAAAGGCATGAGGAGATATGGAGTGCAGCTGGTTACTGGCCAAGATCAAATGGCGAAGGTTGGTCAGACCTTTGAAATGGTCATCCTGGTCATAAAATACAAGTATACAATTAGGCCCCTTTAATTAAGACATTCATATAAGTTGACTGCGTTAAAAAATTTTTGTTTTTCAGTCAATTTTACCTTGATTACAGTTAATCTGTTGGAGTCCAGATGGAGTGCTCTCAGTCTCCGTAGATCACTGAATGCTGAAGGAAGGATCTGACTAATGGTGTTTCTAGACAGTGTCAGATGTAACAAGCTGGTCATGTTGGCGAAGTCTTTTCTTCGGACAGCTGCAAATTACAGTAGAAACACAAGTTAAGTATCCAAGGAAATTCATTTAATTCTAAACAAGTTAGACTAAGAGGGTCATAGTGAATTAAAGGAGGTCCAGAAGGACTGAGCATACTCATTGTCCAAACAAGAAGTGTGTAACCAACATATAGTTTATTTGAGATGACTTTGAACACTTCCTAACTTTGTAAGGAAACTAAAAAGGATTGGATTTTCTTCAAAAGGTTATGGTCACAGTAATAAACTTGGCTTAGGTGGTCACGACAGAACATATAGTGAGATTGTGAGATGTATCATGAAGCTTTTTATAGATGTATCTGAACTCAGATTAAGTTGCATGAGTACTGTTTGTAGTTCCATCAAGAAAGTAGTAAAATAACATGAATGTAAAACAAGCCAACACTAAAAATATATTCACCATAATTCAGAAAGAAAAGAAACCCCCTCAAAAAGCAAAACAGGAAAACAAATCAATAGTTTGATGCATTAAGTATTGGCGGAACAGTTCAGTTGCTCTGCATGCAGATCCTGTTCGTACTTAATGCAATTATAGATACTTTACCTACTCTCCCTATCAACTGGGACCATTCAAATCTTTTGACAAATCTGCAAAACAACTTAAATAAAATGCTTTTCAGTTAAAACATTTCTCTCATTTCCAGAATTCTCTAAATTAATTCCAAAGCTTTTTCTTTTGACTGCCAATTATTAAGTTCACTTTGATAGCCTAGCTCCACCATTAATAACAGAGGCTCATCAAAAACAAGATTATTTGAAACCAATTAATTGTTAGAAAACCAAACTCATTTTTTTATTAAATAACTTTTTAATCAGATGGCAGCAAAATGAAAACATCAATCTACTTCATTATCTTTAAGAAAGACTATTAATTAAAAATATAACAGGTGATATATTTTCTTTATTCTTACTTTATAATTAGAATATTGTCACTTTTGAAAATATCAAAAACCCATTAGAGATACAATTTTTTATTTATTTTTTTATACCTGGATTGTTTTTTGTTGGATAATATCAATGTGAGTAATTCTGTTACATGGGCAGATAATATTCTCTCATATTGATTATAGACTTGTGAATTGAATTCAATGGAGGTCATATTCTGACAGACCTTTTGAGACCATATTATTATTTGCTAGTCCATTACATGGTCTAACAAATACATGAAGATAATGATGCATCATGAAAAAGATGGTGATTTACAGATGAGGCAATTCCTCAATGTGCCGTCTGGTAGGGAAGACCAATTAGGAGATAAGGCCAAAACCTCTCACTGGAGAGGTGGATGTCATTACTAGAAAAGCAGGTTAAAAAAGCTTAAGGTTAAAAAAGCTTAAGGGTTTCAATTATATACAAAGAAAGAAAAAAAATCAAATTAGACAGAAAATTATCATCTAAAGGTATATAACTACAGTATATTGTTGACACTCACCCACCTCATTAATTAGAATCAGGTAATCAAATAATTTCCATGGTCACAGTTGTATAAAATCAAGCATCCAGGCATGCAGACTGTACTAAAAAACATTGGCAAAAGAGTGGTTCGCTCTTAAGAGCTCAGTGAGTTCCAATTCCTCACCTCTGAATATTCCATAGTCAGCTGTATCATAAGAAAAATGGAAGTGTTTGGGAAGGACAGCAACTCAGCTACAAAGTGTTAGGCCAGGTAAATTGATGGAGGGGGTCAGCGGATGCTGAAGCTCATAATGCGAAGTTGTCCAAGCCATACATCACCAAGTGCATTGGACACAGTGGTTTAAAGCAGACCCTGGACTCCAGAGCAGAGAAGACACATTCTCTGGTGTGGCAAGTCACATTTCTCCATCGGGAAATCTGATGGAAGAGTCTGGATTTTGTGAGAACTGTACTTGTCTGACTGCATTGGGCCAAATTTAAGATTTGGTGGAGCGGGGATTATGGTGTAGGATGGTCTTTCAGATGGCTTGGTATCCTTTAGCATACTAAGACATCTTGGACAATTCCATGCTCCCAACTTTGTGGGAACTGGATGGGAGTTTATTTAAACAGATTTTAATCTACTGTATGATATGGACTGATTATGTTTTTTGTTATTTTGCCCAGACTTTACTTTTTCATATCAAATAGTAGCCTGCTGAAATAAAAGCATACCTCAATAAAAATAGAAAAATAAAACCACAGATGGAAACATTGTAATTATGTACTATTTTGGCCCCCAGAGACCAGACCTTGAAACAGTCAAAGAACTGTAGAAACATCTTGAGAGAATACAGAACTAACAGCCGCTAACATAAAAAGCAGAGCTTTGAAAAGTCCTTCATGAAGTGGGTAAAACTGTCCTTGAATATAATACATAAAAGTATTCCCAAGTTAATTTAGACTGCTTTAATAAAAGAAAGGGGCTGGTTTAAAAAATAAAGCTGGTTAATTTTCTTAAAGAAATCAAAGTATTATTCTTTCTAGTTCTTCCAAGAGCCCTTGGTATTTCTCCAGTTTTTCATATTCTTTTTTTTCATCATCTGACAGATGATTTAGGTGCGTCGGTCATGCAAAGGGAGATCTGACTAAGAAACAAGTGCATATTGAGGATAACATTTCTATGTAAAATAAAACCCGGGGTTTTATCTATTTTTCTATTTTTGGAGGAAAAGAATGCCTAACATATTCCACTATCTCTGTTATTGACCAATACGAGTTTAGTATAAATGCTCTGCTTAGCATCTTTCTGCAGAATATAAAGTTATTTAACTTTGTATGAGTTTTGCTTTATTGGACTCTTGAATAGAAATTTAATGCAAAGAATAATTGAAAATAATGTATCAAGTGATTGCAGCCTGTAAAGAATGTTTCATAGTAACCAAAAAAAGGTTACTGGTATAAATTTCTTATTTATCATCAATAAAATTAACTTGAAAAGAGTGGCTGACATGTGCATTGCCCTTTAAAAAGTTTAATTAAGCTAGAGATAAAGCACATGTCAATTGTCAACACAAAATAAGATAAACACAAAACCCATAGAAAGAACAGGTTGGCAAAAATGTAATTTGAAATGTAAATGTTTATCAGAATCAATGAAATATAGAGCTAGTATATATGGTACCTGTTATGAAGTTTTCTTGAAGTCGTAGCTCCACGGTGCGTCGATCAATGGCAGCGGGAACAAAGAGCAGGCCTGTTTTGGAGCAGAGGATAGCAAGCGATGGAGAAAGGCTCTGGCACATGCAGCGTTTTGGACACGGCTGTCCCCTGCATGCTGCTGCCAGTAACAGCAAAGAGAACCACAGCCGTTCCATTATCCTCCCCAGGAAACAGGGCAGCTGGAAGACACAAAGAGCAGACGAGTGAATTAAAGTGGAGAATGAGAAGTGCACTGCTACAGTGAAGGCCCCCGGGAAGTGACAACCAGGGTGAATCACTGAACTCCAAAATTCTTTGTACAGGTAAACAAGCATACAGGTTATCTCTACTATTCCCGCTTAGTAAATGTGACAGCTTTCAAACGCCATCATGCTGTCAACCTACTATTAAATGCAGAAATTTCACAACAGTGCCTCTTCTTTTAGAGTTTGGGAGAAAATTTTGTTTTCAAACTTTGACTGAAAGCAAGGTTTATTAAGGAAAGGGGAATCGATAATAATCTAAATTATTCTTTACTGTTGTTCTGCATCATTGTTTCACTTCATTATTTCGACGAGCCACATCTGTTACTTTGGGCTGGCAGGCATGAAAATGTGTTGTTTTCCCTCAACAGTATTGAAGAGATCAATAACAGCAGAACGGAATTTTATCCAGTTTGATTCTTATCTTCTGACAAATCATCAAAAAATGGGTGTCAATTCTGAAGGCTGTATTTCTTTCCAGCAACATGTTCTTCAATTAAACCAATAAATGTTACATTGATAGAAGCACTAAGTAAAATGTAGATGCCTCTTTTTACAATTAATCCTAATACTCACATAGGAACTCCAGACTTTAATATATAATTTATTACTTTTTTATGATTAAACAATTGATTAAATACAGTGCAGAGTATTGAATTTAATGAAATATGTTATGATTTAACATTTTTCCAGTCAAAATAAAAAAATGTGACATGCATTTGTATTCATAACCCTTTACTTAATTCTTTGTGGAACCATCTTTTCCTACCTGTACAGTATCACCCATATGATTGATTGGAATCAGGTAATCCAATCACTTCCATTGTCATAGTGTTATGTTTCCACTAGCTGCATTTATAAAGTTAACATTTTCCGCACTCTTTTGACATTTATTTTCAAGTCTTTTTATTTATCATTAATTAGATTTAGATTCTCTACGATCTACTCCGATCCTACTGATAAAGACTGCTAATAATTTTTGGTCATCAGTACACATTATTACTCATTCGAATCATCTAAAATGCTGTTTATTAGAAAACCTATCAGAATTTACAAGGACCATTGCTAGACCAAGGACAAATGTTAAGCTCAGCTTTTAGGGTTTATATTAGAAATAACATTACAACAAACCGTTTTTTTCATCTATTTTTGAAAAATAGATGAAGGGATTGAAATTCTTTAACAGTGTTGTAAGTTACAGTCCGTACTTTTAGGCCTCGACCAGCTGCAGAAAAGTAGTGGACTTCAGCAACAGCCTTTTCTCTCTTAACAGTGATTTCCCCTTTGTGTTATGTTTACGAGAAACAAACTTTACTGGAATAAGCTGGCGGCATCTAGGATTTACAACACTGTACATAATGCTAATGCATGCATTATATAGCCTAAGCTATTGCACTCAGTGAGCTTCAAAACCTTGAAGCTGTAAAACAGTGGATCAGAGGTAGCATTATAATTTGGCCATGTTATCACTCATACACATCTTTAGTTTCTCCAGGTGTTGAGGATAAATGTTACAACAGGCGGCATTACAGCAATTAAGATGGTAAGATTGCTTTTTTTATTTTCAAATATATATATTAACTGCAGATGCCTTGATGCATCTGATTATCATATTTGGATACACTTCATGACAATGTGACACACTCAAACATTTCCTCACCGCATTATGCTGACTCATAATCAAGAGAAGCGTTTGAACCCCTCTCGCTATTCTCATAATGGTATGATCCTACAGTATATCCTCACAAGTGATGGCAGCATAGCCTTAATTCTGGGCAATCAAATCAATGTTCTATCTTGAACATAGCTTTTGCTAATGCTGACCTCTTAGCAGGTGTCCTTTACTCATTGCAGCTGCTGATTCACTACAGAGTATCAGCTCTCAGAGCTTCAACTTTTGAACATGACAAATCAGTATGTGCAGATATCTGTTGTTTGCTGATGTGTGCCATCTGTAGAATCAACTTCCTGGAGTGGTTTTGAAGAGCAAATGGTTAAAAAACCCATAAATTAATAGCGTGCTGACACAGGGGGCTTCTAATGGGTGCTAAGAGGGATGGTTGGTTCAGTATGACAGTGGACGTCTCCTTCTGCAGTGTCCTGAAGCTCTGAGAACATGCATTTATGAAGTAACAACTCAGTTTTGCAATGCTGTGCTCTTTATTGTTTAAGATGATTCAACACATTGGCCATTTTCTTTTTTCTTTTTTTACCCTGCATTTCTTTTTTACTACTTGCCATTCCCATCGATAAAACTGCAGCCAGCATCCGTAAATTCAGCAGTATATTCTATCATTACCAGAAGTGAGAGTGATGCATAACACAAAAACAGTGCGCTGTAAACAAATTTCAACAAAACTTCAAAGCGGATAATTTCCCACAAGGAATCTTATGACTACTGGTACCCAGAAGGATTTTTTTTTTTAATGAATGGTACACAAATCATTGGAGGAATCATTTCAGCCCCCACTAGGAAACTGCCCAAGTCTGCACAAGAACAATGAAATTTGGAGACAAATTCACCCCAAAACAACAAATCATGGTACACTAAGCTTTAGCTATTTCCACATTTTCTGCAGTTGTTGCTTTTTACAGTTTCGCTTCCACAATCTCATTTAGACAGACTCAATCCAGTCCACTCCCTCTGGCAAAGGCAGCGATGAGCCGTTTGAAAACAATCCCATATATTACATTAAACTAGTCTCACAGTCTTCTTATATTGCACTGCAATGGAGATGCTGTGGATGGGGACACATTATTTAACAAGATAGAAACACAGACAGTTTCACCCATTTTCTTCAAACTGGCCCAGCCAAAAAATTAGACTCGAATTTTAAGGTTCACACTAAATTTGGAGCATCTTTTAGGGCCTCACTATTTATGTAAATACTTATCATTTCATCTTGTTTACCCTCCAGGGAACCCACCTTAGATCCTATGTGTTTATCTTGCCACTCAGCTCCCTTCCCTCTTCTTCCTGGTTTGAGCACCTGTTTCCACTTAGCCTTGTACAAGCTCCCGTTCCCCATCATTTTTTTCAGCTCTTCTTTTTATCACTGCTCTCATGCTGCTGTTGGTGTGCTTCAATAGTGCTTCTGCTTTTCGTATTTACTTGGTATCCAGGCTTTTTAAGTTTGTAATTTTTTGTTAATTTGGGAATTAAACTTCACACCAAGCATATGCAGTTGGGTTATCATTTACTGTACAATACAACTTTTGTCTGAAGTATCTTTGAAAGTGACACCTCATTGACACAAGACTCCTTCATGTGTTTTCCAATCCTTTGCAAATACTAGGTACTCTAGTCAATTAGGTCATTCTAACTGGCTCCATTGCACCGCAGCATGATGGAAAGCCCTCCACTCATCCACCAGAAGAACATTGAGTCCTTTTTGATGGAAGCAAAATGCAACAATTTTTAAACACCAGACGAGTAAGACAAGAAAAAGTCAGATATAGAGTGAGTAAAGCAAATCCGGTACGTGACAAAAAAAAAAAAAAAAGGTGATGTACGGATGGATGCTCCACACATCAGGGGTGGATTGCTGCACTGAACATTTTGTGAGGGATGAAGGAATATACATGGAACGAAGTTAGGCTAATCCGGCCTTAGATTGTGTTATATTATCAGCCTCCTCAATGTAAAAAACATGAGTTGGAGAACTGTCTCTTTGCCATTTGAATCTACTGTTCCTTCTTGCAACTGAACCTGGCTCTAAGTGAATACAACATTTATCTTTTCACACCTTTTACACTGTTATGCACATTCTTTGCAATTTTTGGACTTCTAAATTTAGTTGGCTTAAATTTAAAAATAATCTACTAATGCCTTTCTACAAATTTGAAAATAGCATAAATTATGTGATCTTTTGGAAAGGCATTGCTAAGGATTTTTGACATGTTAAAGAATTTAGCAACTTACAGGCACAATATTTACCTAAATAAGAACCACAGCAGCAGGAATACTGGTGTTGCAATAAAAATAATAAATATATATATTTTATATGACACTGTACACTCTAACTGCACTGAAGAAAAAGCAATGTATCCTGGGCTTGATAAATATTTAGGTGTGTGACACTTATAGTCCACTAGTCATATTTTCTCATCATTTACATATATAATTATCTGACCACTTAGGGGCTGTCATAGAATGTGTATAGAGTGTTGTTCATTAAGCCCAACTAATCATTAAGTATTGAAAGGGGGAAAAGGGCATCAGTCAAAAATAGCCAACCTTTGTTCTTTCAATAGTATGGCTCACAAGTGAATCAAAAGCATTTCATTTTCATACAGCGGTTGGGGGAGAGGGGTTGTGTTGTTTCGAGGCTGTACCATTCTTGATAGTCATAAAATCTTTACCAAAACAGCCCTACAATATAAAAAAAATAAATAAAAATCTGGCAGTGCTGCTGCAACCCTTCTATCATTTTCCTGTACATCATCCCAAAATCAGAGTAAAACATGATCCACTTCAAAATCTTAGTAAAAAAAAATTGACTTCATGGTGTAATTTGATAGTTAATTTGTTCCACTTTCCCACAGATCAGTAAAGATTCTGAATAAATAACTTGCATTGACAAAACGCTGCGCTTTTGACAGGCCTTATATTTCCACCTGCTTCATGTTTTCTGGATATGTGCTAGATTAAATATATCTCTTTCAATTATTTGTGTTTACTCCCTCCACAAAACCTACCTCATCGCAATACCTCCTCTACCTGCAGTATCAGATTTCAATTCAGTCATCCACATATCCACATTATTTCTAGTTTTCATACATTTCTGCAACCATTGCATCTATTTTAAACTCATATAAGAGTTATCCACACAAACAATAGAGTGTAAGAGTACTTTGGTTTTGTGCAAAAGGTTTAAGCACTTCACTTTTTCAGATTCTTATCTCTTCACCCCATGGCCTTCTCTGCAATTTCTGTT